GGGGGGGAGGGGAGGGGAGAATGGAGGAGGGAGGATTGAGCGATAACACGGGCAGCGATACAAACTATCCACTGTACAAGAAACCAACCTCCGACGTGCAAAGATGGAGGAGGAGGTACAAGCCTAACACGACAAAAAAGGTTGAAACAAAATGAGTACAAGATAGATATTTAGAGAGAGACTTGGTTGATAAGACCGAGCGAGTGAGAAGGAGCGAAAACGGAGCAGGGGAAGAAGAGGAAGAGAGACTTTGAAAGAGGGGAGGGAGAGAGAGGGGGGGGAGGAGGATGAGTGAATCAACCAACAGGGACAAAACGGGATGCCTCAGGGCTGAACTGGATGTGGGAGAGAAAAGTGGAGGGTGGAAAAGAGATGATTGGGTCAGGCACATCGCTGCCTTAAACACCGGAGTGCCTTTTGACACCTTGACACCTTGGCACCTGAGGCATATACATCTCCTGAAACGCGCACGGCGGCGGTGCAACCATGTTTCCCTCCCCTGACCACCCGGCTAGTCCCAAACAGGGAACGGGCAGCGCACTCGCCCCAATAACTCAGCCACCGCCCATTGAAGTTACCTTAGTAGGCTAGTGCCCAGTGGGAGGGGCCCGGGACTCACACCTCAGGCTCATCCGACCACTCAGTGCACACCCACCAGGTGCGCAGCGTCTATCCCGGACTGGAACGGGGAACGACTGCCGACCTCAGCTCAACCTCTCTACCCTCTACTCCGTACCTAGTCACTAATGCACTTCCCGCTCACCTCGGCCTCTTGTTAGCGATACCACCCTTGCTATCTGTGCACCCTGATCGCCTGTCCAAGAACTCCGCTGCTGACCATCAATACGATCTGACGTGACTTGCTGTCCCGCCGTTTCCCCGGCATTTCCTTACTCATTCCTACCCGGTAACTCGGCGGAGACACTCTCCAGACAGCACTGCATCCCTTATCCCTTAGGCGGTCTCGACCACTCTGCGGTTCTCTTATCGGCAACTCCAAGCCCCCTCCCCCCCAAATCCATTCCCCGCGCAAGTTTTCTTTTTCAATTCAAATATAGCCCTCGGCCTTGACTGGAGGGCGCGTCGGTGTGGTCGCAACGGACACGGGAACAGTGGAGGATGAGAGGGAACCGCAATCGATGGGTGTAATACGGAAGAAGACCGCCTCGCGCGGCACCGAAGCAGGCACCAAGTATCATTGCGATATCTGCTCGGTTGATGTGACTTCGACGGTATACTCTCCCTCTGATACTTTGTGATTGTTTACATGACCTAACCTCGTCCGCGCCTTTTAGGTTCGCGTATCCTGTGCCCATCCCTCCTGCCACGAATACGACCTCTGCGTTCCCTGTTTCGCAGCCGGAGAGAAATCTAAGAACCATGACCCGTCCACACACCCGTTCCAAGTGATCGAGCAGAACTCGGTGCCCATCTTCCAGGAAGACTGGGGTGCTGATGAGGAGCTCTTGTTGCTGGAAGGTGCTGACATCTACGGGCTGGGGTCATGGGCCGACATCGCCGATCACATTGGAGGCTATCGCACCAAGGAGGAGGTTCGAGACCACTACATCAGTACATACATCGACAGCCCCAACTTCCCACTGCCGGAGCGCGCCGATCCTGACGACACCCGCCTGTCCGACTCCATATCGAAGGAGGAGTTCCAGTCGCGAAAGAAGCGACGCATCGAGGAGCGCAAAGAGGCCGCTAAGGCCGCTCCGCCGACCACGCCCAAGCAGAAGCCCACTGCTAGTGTGCCAGCGTGTCACGAAGTGCAGGGTTACATGCCGGGTCGGTTGGAGTTCGAGACCGAATTTATGAACGATGCGGAAGAGGCGGTGCAGCATATGACCTTTGAGCCTGGTGCGGGCGAGACCGCGAACGGTGAGCTGGATGCGGAGATGGAGTTGAAGATGACGGTGGTGGACATTTACAACTCGCGCTTGACGGCGCGCACGGAGCGCAAGAAGGTCCTCTTTGAGCACAACCTGCTCGAGTACCGGAAGAACACGGCGCTAGAGAAGAAACGTACGAAAGAGGAACGGGATCTGCTCAACAAGGCGAAACCGTTTGCCCGGATGATGAACCACGACGACTTTGAAGAGTTCAACAAGGGACTGGAGTACGAGCACAACCTGCGTCTGGCCATCTCGCAGCTGCAGGAATGGCGGCAAATGGGTATCGGGGATCTGAAGGGTGGCGAGAAATACGAGCAGGAGAAGCAACAGCGCGCCCAGAGGATGGCGCCGCAGGGCTCATTTGACCGGTTCGCAAGCACACGGCCGAAGCAGCAACAGCAGCCCGAACAGCCGTCGGCGGCTAGTCAGTTGACGACGCCAGAGCTGCCACTGCGGCTCCAGAAGGCCTCAGGCACCCCTGGCGCCCCCAAAGCTCCCGAGCCTCCCAGTCAGCCGATGAACGACTTTGACCGGATGTTTGCCTCCAACGGAGACGGGATCAGCACGCCGACGCCGCCGGCGAAGACCAAGTTCATTGTGCAGCCGCTGAATGGGGTGATTCCGTGGAAGCTGGAGAACGAAGCTGCCCCGGATCTGCATTTGCTGACAAAGGAGGAGGTAGAGGTGTGCAATGTGCTTCATATACAACCGAAGCCATACCTAGTCATCAAAGAGACACTGCTGAAGGAGTCGATGAAGCAGGGGGGCAGTTTGAAGAAGAAGGATGCACGGACCATTTGCAAGGTAATGCTCTGCCGTTCTGGCTATCGACGATGTACTGACAACTCCGCAGATCGACAGTGCCAAGACCAGTCGGATCTATGACTTTATGGTGCACAGTGGCTGGATCAACAAGGGGTGATTTGACTACACGATTATCCTGATCTTGTGTGTGTGTGTTTTGTAATGGAGTTGGGAGGCGTTCGGAAGGGCAGGATGGATGTTGATGTGATTTGAATTGTATTGACCGACATGAATGATGCATAGCTTGATCTGACTGATGTTTGGTGTAGAAGATCTGTTGGAGTTTTTCTCTGAATACTCTGCTTAATTCTCTTCGAGCTCACTGACATGCTGTAAGTTGCGCATAACGGTAAATGCTTAAAGCCTCAATCTAAAGCCGAGCCTACTGTAGCTAAGGAAAAGGTCGAACCTCGGCAACTCCACCGCAGCCGTCCGTACTCCACTCCAGCGGGCGTCTCCAACATCTGGACTCCTTCCCGGAGCTTCCCCATAAATACTGATGTGCTACAGTACATAGCCCAGAACAACCACCATCAACAACCAACAACAGCATCAGACTTATCACCCAAACCTCACACCTTCCTCTCCTCAGCACAGAATCCCAACCCCAACCTAACCCGACTAAAGAACACCCCCCCTTCCCAAAAAAACCGAAGAAAATGACCACCCCAACCGCCAAATACGCCTCCCTCTCCTTCCCCCTCCCCCACATCCTCCTCGTCACCCTCAACCGGCCCCGCGACCTCAACTGCATCAACACGGAGGGCCACGCCGAACTCGACGCCATTTGGGGCTGGATGGACGCCAACCCGGCCTTACGGGTGGGCGTGCTCACCGGCAGCGGGAAGGCGTTTTGCGCTGGCGCCGATCTGAAAGGTTTGCCCATAAGCCCCAGTCCCCCCAAACCAAAACCCCCAACTGAGAATCAAAATTAAACTAACACCCCCAAAAAGAATGGCTCGCAACCACCACCACCACCACGACGACCACCACCACCCAATCCCAAACCCAGTCCCAACCCACCAAGCCCACCAACCCACTAGTCCCCCCCACCGGCTTCGGGGGGTTATCCCGGCGCACGGGCAAGAAGCCCATCATCCTGGCGGTCAACGGGCTCTGCCTCGGGGGCGGGTGCGAGATGGCCGTGAACGCGGACCTGGTGATCGCGTCGGAGCGGGCCTACTTTGGCTTTCCGGAGGTGGCGCGCGGGGTGGTGGCGTGGGCGGGCGCCTTGCCGCGGCTGGTGCGCACGGTGGGCCGCCAGCGCGCGATGGAGATGGTGCTCACGGGCCGGAAGGTGAGCGCCGCCGAGGCGCTGCGGTGGGGGTTCGTGAACGAGGTCGTGCCCATCGACGCGGAGGGGGAGCCCGAGCGGGATGTGGTGCACCGCGCCTTGGAGGTCGCGGGGCGCATTGCGGCCAATAGTCCCGACGCGGTGGTGGTGAGCCGCGCCGGGGTGAATCGCGGGTGGGAGCGGGAGGGGGCCGATGAGGCGACGGGCAAGCTGATGGAGGAGTGGATGGAGAAGTTGAACGCGGGGGAGAATATCAAGGAGGGGCTGAGGGCCTTTGTGGAGAAGAGGCATCCCAAGTGGGTGGATAGTAAGTTGTAGTACTCAGACATAGGTCAACTACAAATTACGAAAGGCAAGAGAGAAGTCATAGCGTATTCGTGCATTTGGTATATGAAATGCTCAGTGCTCTGTAAGTACATGAATTATCAGAAGAAAAAGAAAGAAAACGCAAAGCCTATGCTGGTATCCCATGCTCCGTTCGCGCCGACCATTTGTTCGCCATATCCCGTATGATTCTTCGCCGTCCCGCGGCTGAACCGGTTGTACAGGCTTCCGGATTCCAGATCCGTGATCAACTCGGAATTGCTGAACTCGCAATGATCTTCGTGAACATCGTAAAACATAACAAATTATCTCATTTACGGCGAGATAACCGTTGGAGACTCGACTTGCTTAGACCTTGACTCCCTGCACCTTGCGCACCCGCTCGAGGACTGCAGGGTACAGAGGGTGCTTCTCTTCCAAGCCGGTCAGGTGGCTGGTGGCCGACTCAGGGGACTGTCCCTCGAGGATCTCGGCGAGTTCGGCACTCTCTTGGTCACCAGGCACGTTCTGGAAGCGCAGAGCCATCTCGACCGCGTCCATCAAGGCATCGTACTTCTGACCGCGCTCGGCGAGCTGGGCAGCAGGGCCAATGAACCGCTCCTTGCGGGAAAGCTTGCGCAGTGGAGCGCGTCCCACACGATCAACGTTGTCCTCCAAGTAAGGGTTGGAGATACGCTGGATGATCTTGTCAACGTACTCCTTCTGCTCCTCGTCTGAGATCTCGTGCTTGTCGGTGATAAGGGAGGCAGTCTCGCCAAGGACCTTGTGCACCATCTCCTTGATCTCCGGATCAGCCAATGCCTCGGCGATCATGCGCTTGCCACGGATGTGACCAAAGTAGGCTGTGGTAGCATGGCCAGTGTTGACGGTGAAGAGCTTGCGTTCGATGTAGGGCTCGAGGTGGTCAACCCAATGGATGGCAGGGATATCTGGGTGGCCGAGTTCGCCAAAGGGAGTCTTTTCGACAACCCATTCGTAGAACTTCTCGATGCGGACGTTGAGACCGGCATTGGGAGGCTGATTGGGGACAATACGATCGATGGCCGAGTTGGCGAACTGGGCACGGTTATACAGAGTCTCGACGCGGTCTTCGGCGGTGTGTTGCTTGATGAAACCGTGGAGTGTGTCAGTAGCACCAATGGCGTTCTCGCAAGCGATGACAGCCACGGGCTTCTCTGCTGTGCGCGCATCGATACCCTTGGCAATCACAGGGGCAATGAACTTGAGAATGTTGGGACCGACGGCACAGGTGACGACATCGGCAGTGGCGATCTCTTGGATGACATCGCTCTCGTGGGTCTTGGAGTTGATGGCGCGGAAGTTGGTGATGGTCTTGGTCTTCTCACCTTCCTCGCTAACCTCGGTGACTTCGTACGAGTCTGCGTTCTGAAGGGCGTTGACGGTTTGGTCCATCACATCGACGAAGACGACCTCGTAGCCAGCCTCATGGAGAAACTCGGCAACGAAGCCACGACCGATGTTACCACCGCCAAACTGGATAGCCTTCTTAGCCATGATGAAGTGCTGTGATGAGGTATATGGGGTAGAGAATGATTGATAGTAGTCAAGAGATGTAGAGTGGGGAAGTAGAAGTCTTGGTGATAGGTGAAAGGGTCTCCTGATAGGAAGAGAAAAAGGTGGAGGTAGAGGAGAGAGATGATTGATGTGAGAGTTGTTGATGTTGATGGTGAATGAAAAAGGAATAGAACAAAAGGATTGAGGAGGGGGATTAGAGGGGTATTATATGAAGCCGCAATGGAGGGAGGAGCAAATCGAAGAGGGGGAAGGAGGGGAGGGGAAAGAGAGGGGCGCAGCAACACATCCAGTGATACTGTGAGAAGCAGGCAGGCAGGCACGATAGAAACATAGAGAAAGTCCCCAGTCGCGCGGTATGTGCGGGACATGGGAATGGCAGCCGGATTGCATAGATCATTGGTTGGTGGAGCAGGACAATGACCTCAACTCTCTCAAACAAGACTCACCAATCCGAGGATGACGTGAGGGACCCCTACCTACTACACCAAACGAACCACCATACCGTCAACCGTGCGGTGATCCTAAACAGGATATTCCAACTACTACATTGCAGCTAGCAGGTAGCAGGGTGGATGTAGCTATCCTTCTGACTCTGTCTGGTGAGAAGGTCCATGTGGTGGTATGCTTCCATAATCATGGCATACTCAACAACATCAACCCCAAACAGCCACGGCCGGTCTCCCGATCCCTCCCGACCAGTTAGGTTGATAGTGATCTTGAAACCACTCTGTCTACTACGACTGGTCTATATTAGACTCCTAGTACAACTACACTACTACTACCCTACCCTATCCTACCCTGGTCATTCTGCACTTCCCCGGGTTTGCGGAGTACATCGGCCCGGATAGGAATGTCTTCCCTTGGCACAACTCGGCTTGAGGATTCAAACGACACGAGGGGTACGAAGACCTCTTCCCGAGTACGGCCTATGTTCTTGGATCGATGATGGTTTCTGGCCAGTGGTGAGAGGGAGAAGTGGAATGTCATCATCATCAGACTGGGGGGGAGGGGCGGTAGTCGTTCGATCAAACATCACATCGTCATGCCGCTGGGGAAAACGAGGAGGAAAGAGACCCACTGCTGCCGGTGTCAGTCTCGCTGAGAACTACAACTTCCTTACACTTACGTCGTAGTCTCGGTCTTCTCGGTCTCCCCCACCCTGTGACGTTATTCTCTCCTCCACCGCGTCCTCCCAATTACTGGCTCCATCTTGAATTCGGCCCTCATCGACTCGGTCCAATTCCATCTCCCAAAGTTGAAGACAATTCATGTGGGGCTTAATACCCTTACTGTCTCCCCCAGCTTTCTCGATCCTTCTCGATTCCTCGCCTTCATACATGAGTTCAAAGGAAAGGCACAAACGACTGTGAGGTCTCACTCAAACGTCAAGTTGAATGTTCAATCAGTACAATACAGTAGTAATAATACAATGGGACTAATTACGAGTACTAGGGAGTTATTTGCAGTTACACACCAATGGCTTCATCGCCGTTTCCCGCCCGGCCCAATCCATTTTTTCCCTCACTTTCCACCCATTTCCATCCGTCCGATCGGCCCCCTTGTCGCCTTCTTCCCTTTCTATCTTCCGATTCGTTTTACAGTCCCGTTCATAATTCCCGCGTTCTTTCTTACTCCGTACCTGGTAACCCGGGCTATTCGTGCGAACGCAATGTTACCGAATCGTCACTGTGGTGACTGTGCACTTCCGATTTGGCATGATCTTCCAGCAGATCGTCAGGGCCTTCGTCAAATCCATCATTGTCATCAGGAACATCGTCCACAGGAGGTCGACTGCGGTCGATCAACACCATCACTAACCCTGTGGTGCCCCCAATCAAATACAGCCCTGTTGCTGCCCAAGTGAGACTCAGGAACTGCGGCCCGTACTCCGCTGTTACTCCGGCGTCCTGCCCATGGTAGCTGACCAGCTTGACAAACTGGAATGCAATCACGGTCGCAATGATGGACGAGATCCCAAGCATCACGAAACTCAACTGCGCACGGGTCAGTATCATTCGTTGAGAACCCACATTTCGCAAGACGGACGGGATCATACCATCATGGACGACACTTCCGTTATCGTTTGTCGCGGGCCGCGTCTGAGCGCCCACCACGCCCTTTCCAACAGCGCCAGGGCGGCCACCCCGGCTCCCAAGCAATAAAACATTCCCATACTGCGCGATGTCATCTGGAAGGCATAAAAGTCGTCGGTGATCGCGCTGGGCCACCCCAAGTCCGCCGGGGAGGTAGTATTCCCGGTGTCGGCCCGGATTGCAGCATCCGGATCAAAGGAGAAGAACAACGCTCGATCGGAGCAGTTGTTAAAGTCCTTGTGATTCACCCGCAGTTCTCCCTCGCAGTATGACATGACATGGATGGAGTAGAAATTAGCGATCTCCGTGCCCTGGCTGATGTTTGAGGTATAGATCTGTCGTAGATGTCAGAGGCTTGTCTCAACTTTGACCTCATCTGGTGTTCCTTTGGCGATGAAAGCGGGTTAACTCACCGTTAGGATTGAAGTGTCGGGCAGTACACTCGTTTGTGACCCCGCGAAGAGGCATATTAGTGTCAGTATGAAGGCGATAAATGCTGCCACCGTCGGCAACCAGTTCACTAGACGACTCATGGTGCAACGATACCGCTCAACTTCTGCTGTCAACAAACAGGTTCTGTAGAATCAACTTTGATTGCAGCTGTCCCAGACTGGCAATGAGATCTCATGTATACTCTTCGCTATCGGGCCTATGAGATCGTCGAGCATTCCTTGAGATGGCCAGTCGCCAGCAAGATTTAGATGAGGAAATTCGCGGACTCGAACTTCGCTTCTTCCGGTACGTCTCGCTACTTAATTGAATAGCACAATGTTACCGCGTTGGCTTGAAGGCGATCCCAATTGGACACGAGATGCCATTGGAATGTATTGGCCTGAGAGGTCAGGCAGCGAATGCCGCAGCGTGGAAAGACTCATCGTCCGCCAGCGTGAAGAATGTGCGCGCCCACCGATGGTATTCTCGGCGCACTTGAATCGTGATCCAACCCAATTTTCAATGAACAGATTCGATTTCCGCGGTCAGACTGCGAGGGGATGGTGACATCCTTGTCATTCTAACCCTCAAATCCATGAGCACACTGGTCCATGGGTTATCATGACCCATTATGCTTGCAGAGTCCTCAGTTCACTAGATGTCACACTTATGACCGGGATGTGGATAGTGTACTATGCACTTTTGCGCCATAACGACCCATGGTTTGGTCTGGAGTGTAGCAATGCTTGTCTACCGTGGAGAACTATTGTCTAAATGTCGTATCTCTGCTTGCTGTCAGCCAGTCTTCGTATTCTAACGCTAAAGCCCCCCGCACGCCCCACTAATGGCTGTTACCCCGGATTTGGCACGTGGCGCTCGCTGCTGACGCGAAAGGTCTGAGCAGCTGAGCTGGACTTACCCCGCGCTTTACTCTCAATGTGGCTCATGGCCAGAAGCTCGGGGTGGTCATGACTTTCGGATACAGAGCGATCCTCCTTTCATTGAGACAGTACCCTAACACAGTCGAACGCAATGGCCTTAATCGTACACTATCTGCGTCTGAAACCGACCCAACGAGAGAACCTCTTTCGACTCAGCCTTCACCCAATTCTTCTTGACCCTCGCCCTTACCCATTCGGTGGCAGGGATAGCCACCTCCTTCTCATCCTGCCTTCCGTGCGAGTAATACCCCAATCGCCTGAGCAGCGGACTATCGATGGCTCCAAGATTCATCTCATCCGACGGCCTTACAAAATACAGCAGCCCTAACCGATCCAGCCCGACTTGATCCTCTGGCGGAGACACGACACGATGGACCCCACTCTTCAGGTACCCATTCGATAGAAACTCTACAATATCGGCGATGTTGACCGCGGCATAGCCTTCGGGAATCCTCAGCCACTGCCATTCTGCCTCCGCCGATCGTTTCACTTGTAACGCCGCCACTGGCTGCTGAAAGACAAACGTCAGGGTTCCGAAGTCTGTATGGCCTCGTGTGTAGATATGATTGCACCGTCTATTCTCCTCGGCCGACCTTGCCCTCGACATCATATACCGGAGCGCGCTGTCGCAATTCGCCTCGTAACGATGGCCTCTAACCAAAGCCTCTTCGTCTGGTAGTTCCAGCACAATCGCGAGAAGCCGGAGGATCTTGTGCGCCACATTCTCATGAATATGGCGATGGACCTGCTCGATCTCCTTCCAGTGCCGGTGAATCACGTCCGGCTGGGTGCGCTGCGTCTGTGGGATGAATTTGAACAGGTTGTACATCTCCACCTTGTCTGGCTGGCCCGGGGCGAGCTCGACGCTCCCGAGAGGGCGGTAGCCATTGTAGTTTCCTTCTTCAAGCGGAGCGCGATACTCCAATCGTTCTTCGAAGGGCAACGCGTAGAACTCTTGCCCGATGGCGTACTGTCGGTCAATCTGGTCTTGGGTGAGGCCGAAATTGGTGATGTAGAAGAAGCCTATCCTCTTTCTTAGCTTGGTCTCCTTTCCGGACTCGAGCCATCTTATGCATCAGGAAGGGCAAAGACCAACCAACTTCATGCGCAGCTTGCTTCAATTGTTCCGCTAGTTTGGCTTTGCCTTCTGGGGTGTCGAAAAGAGAGAGATCAAGGGTGATGAGGTCTGCATAGTCGACTGGCTCGCTTGTCAGTGAGCTCTGCCACCATATATGGTCAGTAGGAAAAGTACTTACGCAGTTGCGTTGTCTCCGGCGGATGGACGTATGCCTCTAGCGGCTCGGATGAACCTTCGCCGTGTGCTGCATTTGCGGTAGGTGCTTGGATCGCCATGGCATGTTTGTGCTCAATGAAAGTATATGAGATATGATCCGATCAGCTGGTACAGCATGTTGCAAGGCTTAAAATTCGAGACACTGGTGGTTCTGGCAGTCTTGCTTGGAGGCTGTCTTACCCCGCTTGATATCGACTGACGTGATCGTAGCACCGATTGACGATATTGTTCAGGTCGGGAGCGAATCGTTGAGTCGCATGCTGTGTCACTACCAATTCTGGAAGTTTCAAATGCTAATTGAGCTGAGTTGATACTCAGTGCCAGTCGCTATCATTCAGAATGTAGTGTTGTGACCAGGCGGGCGGAGGGGATGCATTTCCTAATCGGGTTGTTTCCTTCTATGACAGGGCCTACTACTATCTCCAGCGGCATCCCGCAAGGCGTACCTCGAGGCTTACAGAAGCCTTTCTCATTAGCTTTTTTCTTCTATTCTCACACGATGTACACGCCAGGATTTCCGATATTCAACCCCACCTCATACAATTCGAAACCCGATCTAGACATGAACCTGAAGCCTTGTCAAGATCTTACAGGGAACATACATCGTCAGAGAAGGTAGCCAGACTGCTACGCAGAATCATGCTCATGGGGAAGCTGTGTCCTCCCATGGCCTGCCTTAATTGAGCACACAATATTGACATCGTGGATAGAAGCCTACTATATCAATGTGAGCTTGCTGTTTATCAGAAAGCTACCTAAGCAGGCCAGTCACCAATCAATCAATGATGGCATTGTCCGGATGAAATGGAGTTGAGATGCTCTGGAACATGGCGCTTAATAGTAGGTGAGTATCGGCTTGGACAAAAAACAGTCGACCAATTAGGCTCGAACGAATTGCGGTGAGCGCGCTTCAAACCCTTCCCTGAGGTGTTTCTTGTACAGTGCCTCTTGCTAACAACTTCCCCAGAGCCACTCTGACACTGCAGGCAATATGGACTTCGACCACCTCGCAGAAGAGAGATCGAATCTGATCTTCCAAGTGTGGCTCCAGAATCTACTGCGAAACTCACCCGAGGAGCTGGCGGGGAAGGTTGCTTCCCGCCACCGTGCTGGCACACCCGTCAAAGCCGCGCCGCTTGCCAATGGCGCTTTCAATGTTTGTTACCGCGTGACCTACGATGACGGTCATCGTGTTGTGGTCCGGTTCACTGCTCTTGGTCGGATCGTCGCTCGTGGGGAGAAGGTCGAAGACGAGGTCGCTATCATGCAATATGTTGCCCAGCATACAAGGGTCCCTGTCCCCAAGGTTCTGGGTTCTGGAAAGTGTGTGGTCGGCCCATACATCGTGATGGACTACATTGAGGGCAAGCCGTTGAGTGGGTATCTGAGGGAGCCGACCCAGGGACTAGTCACACTGCGCTCGAATATCAACATGTCTGTCTTGAGAACAGCATATATGGCCATGGCTGAAATCTTGTTGGGGCTGTCGAAGCCTGTGTTCCCATTCATTGGGGCTGTTCGACTGGACGAGTCCGGCGACTGGACGGTGCAGAAACGACCACTCACCTTTAACATGAATCGACTTGCTCAGTTCTCCAATATCGCTCATAGTATATTTGGCCAAAAGCGCTTCGACAATGCAGCAGATTATTTCGAAGAGCTTGCCCATCATTATATTTCCACCATTTGGAGCTACAGCACAATGATGCAGTAATGGATGAGGCTGACTGCCGGAAGAAGTACATTGCGCGTTGTCTTTTCCGCAGGCTGTTGCGTGATATCTCCAAGGAACACTGCAAGGGCCCCTTCAGGCTATATTGCGATGACCTCCGTCCTGACAATGTTCTTGTCAATGCATCAAGACTGGCTGTCACTGGAGTTATCGATTGGGAGTTCACCTATTCGGCTCCCGTCGAATTCACATATGCGGCGCCTTGGTGGCTCTTATTGGAGAAGCCGGAAGACTGGGAGACCGATCTTGATCAGTTCGTGGTGCGCTTCATGCCGAGATTCAACACATTCCTCGGGGTCCTCAAAGAGTGTGAGGCCAGGAAGATCCAGGACGGTTCATTATCTGCATCTCAGCGGCTATCAATCGCCATGGAGAAGTCTTTGGAGACGGGATTGTTCTGGATCTGCCTCGCTTTACGCCACAGTTCCATGTTCACGAGATATATTGGAAGTTTATCGATCCGAGGTTCCATGGCCCATTCGCATCAATCGAGGATCGAGTGACTCTGCTTAGTGCGGAAGAGCGGGCTAACATCGACACTGTTGTGGAGAATAAGATGCAGCAGGCCAATGAGGGCACTTTGGTAGCTCATTACAGCATTGATGAGCTGGTTGATCTATAGCTCTTGCTCCTCTCGTCCGTGAGTCTGGATCAGATGGATGCTCGCGTGAGAGCTGGGCTATCGGCTCGCAGAGTACGACAACGTAGACTGATACTCTACATCACCTACGCTTAATGGTGCACAATCGTACGTTCAGAGATCATGGCTTTAGCACTAAATAGATAAGGTAGACAGAACACACTGCTGGGTGTGATACGAGCGAATCGCTGTTCCTTGGGGATGGCATGCTTCGGGCAGCTTCAGGTGCCCCGGGTGGATCGTATTCGGGTTTATATAACGAGACGAAAGTCCTCCAACGATGACGAGTAACTCAACTTGTCCTTAAAATCGCCACGAGCTTGCCCATGAAAAAGTCCCCCTTGCCGTGTCATGGTGCGTGACACTCCGAACAAGTGTTCAGCTTCAAGCCTCGGATATGAAGAATCTGCGTATCAAAGTCCCCCTTGAAATCCAATCTGCAGAGGCAAACCAAGCCATCAAGCGAGATTAATCCGAAAACCGGATAATCATACTCTCATCTGTCGGCCCTATATCTGAATTGAATTGTTGCAGCTCACCCTTCCTCTCACTTTATGATTTGGCTCAGATTATGTATAGAGATAACCACTCAATCCCCGGTCATCACTCATCATGAATACTAGCATAGACCTAGACCGGAGACATGTGAGGATGCTATCACGATACCGATGAGACCACGTTGGGTGGGGGCTACAACGTATCCTCTGCCTGTTGCCGTAGCAGTAGTAACATCCCTCATAACCCATGTATCCGCGAAATACCCCCTTGATACACATTCGCGTACCATCTTCCTTACAAAAAAGGGGGGAACAGCCTCCCATGATCATCGATCCTCGAGTCGATGTATCAGAGCATCGGAAAGTCGGCTTCCGGGGGCTTATCCGCAGATTAGGAACGAGGGGACCTGGCCTGGCTTTGGATGTGATTTGCGAGAAAGTAGTGGAATGTTAAAACCTTGGTTGAAGTAATCGGTTCATTGCCGGGGGATCGAGGGAGGGTGGGTTACCATTTCGGACGGTGAAGCCGCTCCACGGCCTGGTTGAGACCTCCGTTGACTACTTGTACACGTGAAGCTTAGCCGCAGTGATGCATACTGCCATTTTAGATGGTACCGTGGCCGAGTACCAAGCCATGCATTGGGTCGAGGGGAAAGATGGATGGGATGAGTTATTGGATAAGTGCTTGGTGATAGTTTTTTATGATATACTCTGGCTCGTGTAGGAGTATTCTCCATCGGGAGAACACGATGTAGATGGTCAACTTCTGATGTCTGCGGTGGCGTAGCTGATGCAGTGGGATCGGATATACTATCGACCCCTCCGCTGACAGGGCTACGGAAGGATTCATGTACTCATACTATGAACGTGGCGGAATTTTCGAGTCTACGAATCGCTTACCGTGAGTTATTGGACAATTTCTCAGGTCGGTACAGCCAAGCGCTGAGCCAAGAGAATTGAAGGACAGACATTACCTCACTACCACCACCACCCAAATCACAGTCTTCGAATTAGAGTGTTCGAGTAAGCCTTGTGTCCATGCAAGGGCTTGGGACTGTACCACCGTCGACGATTACACAAGGCAACCGACCTGATGACCGGTGGCGCGGGCCGGGCTACACCCGAGTAACGGGTGAGCGAGAGCCAGTTCACTCGGTGATAATGCATCGTACATGACTAAGTAAGGGGGGGGAGAACCCACTTAAGACATCTGCACGAACTAACACAGAGCGGGTGTATCGGCTGCCGCGTTGGCATTCCTTCGACGCCTAGCCTAGTAGCCTTCCAGACATGCAGGGTCGAAGGTGTGGCAATGCATAAGCAGCGCCAGGATGATTCTAGGCAGAGCACTCCAAGAAACAAGGCTGCGAGCCAGTTCGCCCCGAAACCACCTCTTCCAGCCGGTGGCGGAAACCAAGCCGTGTGTTCCCTGGGCGAGATATGAGGCCAAGAAGGCTTGTGATACACACCTTCAGTCAAGCTTTGCTTGGATGACGGAAACAGATACCAGCCTGCGCATAGTGTACTCTATCATCAATCCATGTACAAAAAGCAGGACTTCATGCCATTGTAGCGGTCATACTTCATCGAACCACTCTTTCAACGGATCTCTACTCGAGGAGACCGCGTCTGACCACCATCGGCTCTGCTGGATCTCGCCTGGCTGCAATGTCAGGAGATGAGCGGTCGATCTCGCTGAACGCCGCGCACTACCGGGCCATGCGTGGCACCTAGATCCTGCCATTTGATGAAAGGGGGATCAGGGTCCAGAGCTCCCATGCATCTTGCCTCCAGCTATTGCCCAACTACCAGAGCGCGTGGCCAACATGCTGCACTAGGGCCGGCCGGGTAGCTGTTTCTAGATGCATACGCAGCATGGCGGCCGGCCATGATCCATGAAGCTCGGGATGGAGCTGGAAGGAGCAGTTCGCCAGACGATCCCTAATTTCGGTCAGCTCTTCTGATGTAGGAGACCCTGTCAGCATCCAAGATTGCTGATGGTAGGCCCGGGTAAGGGGAGAGGAGAGGGCCAGATAGCCACGAGGCGGAACCCGCGGCTCTCATTGGACCAAACCCAGGACCGGCTTCATACTGCCAGGAGGTGTAGTATGGTGATGAGACCCCTATCTCTCTTTAAGGTTTCAAGGTTGATATCGGTCAAATCCGCTCATCAGAGCATTTCCATGACGAGACGTGCGCCGTCATCATCCGACAGACAACAGATTTGATGACCATGATCGGGCTACTGTGACTGTGGCACCTCGTTCCGGTATCCTGCACGAGAATGATGTATAAGCTGACTGAGATGCACCGTGGAGCGATGCAGGCAAGGGATAGGTCCAAGGAAGGCGGACGTAGTGCCATGTGGTCGGCCGACGTCTCCATCCGTGGAAACGAGCAGGAGCCATGAAACCGGATGGATCTTTTAATCAGGCGATAATGAGAGGGGGGGGAGCACGTCCCAGATAGGCACAGGAGCACGAGGGCAACAAAAGACGGGGAAAGGAAATGAAAGAGGGGGGAAAGTGAAGTTGTTGACAACTGGGGAAGGGTTGGCGGGAACGTGCTGGCAGGACGCGATGCGACTGGCTGGCGGACGAACAACTGCAGCTGCAGTGCCAAGAAACGCCAAACACCAGATTCAATTGATTGTTCAATTGTTCAATTGTGTATTGGACTCCTCTCCTACGCACCTACGTATGCATCGGCACATGTTTAGACTTCGACCACGAGTTTCAGCCCAGGTCAAACTATGTGCGCGTGTTCCCATGAGCCATGTCTTATTCCAAAAAAAAAGTCTATGGCTGTCGTGGCTGTCAGTGTCAGGCGGACGAGGACCGAAGGAACGTAAGGACGAAGGACAACGCAGAAGATATTCTCGGGAAATGCATCATTCAGCTGTAAGATCTAATGGAATCGAGATAAAATCAACATCATGATGAACATTATTGTGTAACACATTGAAGATCCGAGCGGAGCCCTCTTGCCGCTCTCACTGCCAACCCACTTGCCCTCGAATACTCATGTCCTGTACTGTAGACACTGTAATGACAGCGCACGCTCTCTCTTTCCTTTTCTGGGGACAAAGGACCCAGCCAGATTGGTCCATTTGATGCAGGTCGGTCTTTTTCGCAGCATCGTGATTATTAGGTAGGTAGGTATTCTTAGATCCAGATCCAATAGATCCCCCGGTCTTATGGTTATCTCCCCCGTCCCCCGGGAAATTCCTACAATTAAAATAAGAAAAAAAAAAATGGGAGCCCTGAGGATGATGCCACCAACCTTGAATTTCATGGTCCACGGGGACTTCGGGGCCGGCCACTGCAGCTTCATTTCATAGTGGGGTTGCGGGCTGCCAACATCTCATTGGACCGAGGTAAATCCGGGCGGGTGATTCTAGAAGGCGGTCAATGTCGATCGAAGGCGATTCTGCCCCCACGTGCGCCCTTGATTGGTCCGCGGCGGAAGTTTTGCAGTGGGAAACGCCCCTCACGCCCGCCTTTCCGCACCAGGGTTGGTCTTTCTTCCTCGGCGGGCTCAACCTCAACTGACTTCCGCCACAATCATCCATCCGTGACCGTTCGTCCCCGTCCCAGGCATTATTCTTGAGAATTATTCATCATTCTGGTTGGATTGGATCTTTGGGGGGGGTAAAAAGAATGCAATGCAATTTCTTATTTTAGTTTTATGCTACCCGGCAGATTCATAATCATATGCAGATAGACGGGGTTTTTTCAATTCATCTGGGTGGATGTGACTGTGGGTGTGGGTGCGAATGATTCTCGGAGGAAGGAACTGAACTCTGCCCGGGAACGGCAAGCTGGGTTGGAAACTGAACCTCTCCTACCTACCTAATACCACTGCAATGCCAACCAGGTAAGGTACTCAGTACCGATGAACCGCCCCGTATTGAATTTCCTCCCTCTCATGGGAACTTTCACCCGCTCCGGTCTCTCCGGTCGTAAAGCCGCGACGAAAGGCCGAGAGGGAAGACAGAACGAACAGACAGTGGCTCCAGTATTACCTATTCAATATTCTTAACTGGGTCTAGGGCCTAGGCACTGGGGCTGGCGAGAGTCCGCCTTCCTGCATCCCAGTCGACACGACTTGCAGCGCAGTGGAACCCTTCTTCTTCCTTTTTTCCTTTGCATCCACTCCGCTAGAACTAATTCTTACTTCCCCACCCGCCCGCCACCACTGTTGGATCTCGCACTACCTACCAGACTACGGATTACCCAGAAACCCCCCTCCGTCGACCCATGAACCACACACACTTTACCCCCCCAAGACCGGCGTCCGGCTTATCACGTCCCACCATTTGCACATGTGCCTGGGGCGTGACGGTGGGCTGTTGCTGGTCCGCCCAGCCCAGAGATTTTCGGAATATAAGATTGACGGCTGGCCGCTGTCCAACAACTTGGCCTGCATCGTGTGTGACGCCTCCATCACGGTCAACGCGCCCGTTCTTCCCTTCTCTCCTCTGTAGGGGATCTTTCTCAGAGCGCCTCTTCATCTTGTCAAAGTCTTGTTGCGACAGCCAAGCCGATTTATCATTTCACATCGTCCGACAAGATGGCCACTCTCGGTGCTCAGGCCCCTCATGGCCCTGACATGACCGGCACCCATAATCCTCTCGAGGACATGGATCTCCACGAAAAGGGTGCCTTCGATCAGCTCATTCGTCCCGATGACAGCTATACCCCGGATGGTACCTACTGGGCTGATTTGCCCCTGGTCAAGAGAGTCAAGTTCGTTGGTTCCTACGATGCCCAGGAATCCAAGCGTGAGCTTCGTGGAATTTGGGGAATGATCAAGGAGGACCCTCTCTCTCCTGTCTCTTATTACTTCCGGAATATGGTCCTGCCTGGTGCTGGTCTTGGTCTCGAAGGGTAGGTCCCCCCTCCAACGACTCTTTCCGAGGGTGCCACCAGTTTTGCTCACATTGCTTTTTGCGCCTATCCAGTTACGTGCTCTTCTCTATCGGAAACATCAAGCCTCTCTTCCAAAACTCCTTCAAGTCCTGCTGGAAAGAATTTGAGACCTGCGACAAGCAATGGATTTACGCCATTGACTATCTCGAGATTCTTGGTATCATTGTCGGTCAGATCCTGGTCGGTATTCTAGGTGACTGGTATGCAATTCGAATCCGCAGTTTGTTAGTTGAATCTCGCTGACCACATGATTCAGGGTCGGTCGCCGCTGGGGTTTGATTCAGGATGCCACGATCATGCTTCTCGGTCTGATTATGCTTATCGCAGCTTGGGGTGTGAACGAGAATGGCTGGATCATCTGCTACGCCTGGTCTCTGTTCGTCTACGGTGTTGGTGTCGGAGGTGAATATCCCATGACTGCCACCAGCGGTATGGAGAATGCCGTCGGCTCCGGAAAGGTTTCGACCAAGGAGGATCGTCTCCACCGTGGTCGTAAGGTCACCAGCGCTTTCTTGATGCAAGGTTGGGGTCAGTTCTTCAACCAGGCTATCCTGATCATCCTGCTACTGATTTTCCACCATGGAAGCGGTAACCCTCCCTACTCCGCCGTTGCCGCTCAGTGGACCTACCGTATCTCCTTCGCCATTCCCGCCGTCGGAACCCTGTGGCTGGTCTACTACCGTGCCTACCACATGAAGTCTGCTAGTAAGCAGCTGGACGCCGCTAAGAAGAAGGCCTCTGTCACTGGTTACGATGTCAACTCTCTCAAGCTTACCCTCAAGTACTTCGGGCCGCGTCTTCTGGCCACCACCGGTGGTTGGTTCTGCAATGATGTCTTCTTCTACGGTAACAAGCTTTTCAGCTCCGAGTTCATCGAAGTCTTGAGCCCTGGCAACAACTCCATTATGCCTACATGGTTGTGGAGCTTGTGCAATGTCGGTGTCTCGTTGGCTGGATACTACTGTGCCTCCTTCTTCGTGGACAACAAACTCTATGGTCGCAAGTGGATGCAGATGATTGGTTTCCTGATGTGCTTCGTCATGTTCGTCGTCCCCGCTTTCCACTACGATTACTATATCCAGCCGGAGAACATCCACGCTTTCCAGGCTATGTACTTCCTGAGTTCCTTCTTCAACCAATTCGGCCCCAACTCGATCACTTTCTTGGTTGCCGCCGAAGTGTTCCCCACTCCTATCCGCGCCTCGGCTCACGGTATCTCCGCCGCTTGCGGTAAACTCGGTGCCCTGTTGGCCTCGGTGCTATACAACTACATCGGCACCCGCACCAAGTTTTACTTTGTGCCCTGGTGGGGTCTGGCTGGCATGGTTCTCACCTGGCTCTTCCTTCCCGATACCACTGGATTGGATCTGAAGGAGCAGGAACGTCGTTGGCAATACATCCGTGAAGGCCGTGAGCAGGACTACCACGGCCCTGCTATCCACTCCAAGCACTTGTCTGTCTGGGAGCGTCTGCGCGGTGTTGGAAAGAACTACAACGCTGAGCTTGATTACAAGCAGAAGGTCGAGGAGTTCCGCGCTGAATGGGAGTCTGCTATGGCTCGCAAGATGGATGAGACCACCAAGGGCGAAGACTACCTGCAGGACACCGACGAGTCTCTCCTGGAGGGCCACGTCCACTCCTACTTCCACCGCACCAGCCCTATGTTCCGCGGCATGGACAAGCCGGCCACGAGGACGGATAACTTCGCTCTCCCTCCGGCTGCGCAGGATGACTCGGAAGAGTCCTTCAATGAGAAGACCAACCATTAGATTATGTTGAATGATTCCCTTTCTAGCACTTTGAAAAGACCATCGGCGTGATGCATTGCATGTGGCATACCCCAATCCGGGTTGATGATGCCTTTGACTCTTCCTTTCTTGCTGTTTCACAATCTTTGTTTTTCGAGCGAGTGGTTTTGCTTGGTTCTTGTTGTGGCCGTACACCTCCTCCCAATACCCAGGTACATACATACCTACTTTTAGTATATAGAAGCTGATTAATACTGCATCCTCCCCAATGCTGGGAATACATACTTTTCATCGTGACTTTCTTTCTCTTGCACGACTTTGGCCTTGTAGTATCCTTCTTCTTCACATTGCTACCCCAGGATTGACGATTTACAGTTTCATCGGAGAGCAAGTGACATCGTCATCTGGCCCCACGGCGTTCTCGCACGTCGTCATTGCCGGCCTTCCACTCTCCCTGCCGTTTTCGGCCGACTAGGATTCTGCCGGCTAATCGGCCCCGCTAGTTCGGAAAAGGCAAGCGATAAGCAAAGGCGGTACCTTCATTACCTTGTTTATCGCCTCGTTATCACTGATAGTGATATGTCTGCCTCGAATTTCCTCTCCACCCCCACTCGTTATCACCTGCAAGATTATCTGATCTTTGGCGCTGCTTAGTCTACTAGGTAGCCAATTTCCTTTACCCTCGGTTACCTCCAGGCTCTCTGGTCACATCGAATAAGGAGAGGACTCTCACTTGCCGACTAAAGAGCAAGCAAGAGCCCAAGTTTTCTTCGCTGCTATAACAAACAAAACCTGTGGTCTGTCTTTTTCTCTCTCCTCCTACCTGTATAGTTTTTGATTGCTACTTTTTGTGGGATGGATTTATCTAATCTTTTTTCGTTCAAGGGCAGATAGTCATTGAAGCTCACTGTCCTCGAAGAAACGGCGATAACATAATTCCCATTGCTGTTGCTGGACTGTAATTTTTTGGTTTCAGGATCCTCTAGACCGGCCAGGATAGAGCAAAGCAAAGCAAATACCACAAGCAAGCAAGCCAGCCAACAACAACAACAACAACAACAAAAAGTTGAAGCAGAAAAGCATGCCCCTCTTCGCGTTTGGGTCGAATGGTTCCGGTCAATTGGGCCTCGGGCATGAGGAGGATGTCTCCGTGCCGGCGCGATGTGTTTTTGAATTTGCGGAGGATGCAGCGCAAGGAGAGGTTGACGCCCCCAAAGGAGGCGACGTGGTTCGTATCGTGGCGGGAGGGAATCATACTTTGGTGTTGGATCGGAGGGGCAGGGTTTTTGCGGCGGGGTGGAATGGGGATGGGCGGTGTGGGATTCCTAAAAGGGAAGAAGGGGGGGAGGGGGAGATGGTGAAGCGGTTTCGGAGGGTGCGTGCTGTTGTTCCAGTTGTTGATTTGGGGGGTGGTAAGGGTGAGGGGGATGTTCCTAATGCAGGTGGTGGTGGTGGTCGGGTCTATGATACGTTCACGGGGGTGGCTGCTACGTGGGAGGGGACGGTTTTGGTCGCTTCTGAGGAGGAGGAGGAGGAGGGTCAGGAGAGCAGGGATCGAGTGTTTGTGTTGGGGTCGGGATTGAAAGGGGAACTGGGGTTGGGGAAGGGGTGTCTCCGCGCGAGCGCGGGCGGCGTCGCGATCCCGGATTTTCCGCCGCAGGGGATGAAGGTGCGGGCGGTTGCGAGTGGGATGGGCCATACGGTGGTGGTGCTCTCTGATGGGAGCGTGTGGGCATGGGGCGCGGCGAGGAAGGGCCAGTTGGGGGAGGCGAATATCCCGGACAAGGTGGTCTGGAGGCCCCGGAGGATTGAGGGGTCCGAGGGGCTGGGGTTCCGGGCGACGGGGGCGGCGTGTGGGCGGGAGTTTACGGTGATCATTGGCGATCCTGCCAGGGGGGAGTTCACCGTGCTGGGCGCGGTGGATGATAAGTGGGGGATTCGTTCGGGGGTGTCTGCGTCGCAGGTCAAGGAGAAGGCACTACGCGCTGGAGGGTATCGGGCCATCGAGGTCAGTTGGCATGGCGTCTATGTACATCTGGATGATGGGGAGGTGGTGGCCTGGGGCAGGAATGATCGCGGACAGATTCCGTGGACCAGTACCGTGGACTTGGGGCACGGCAAGGTGGTGAGGGATCTGGCGGCGGGGAGCGAGCATCTTCTTGCTCGGCTGGATGAGCGCACGGTCGTGGCCTGTGGTTGGGGCGAGCATGGGAACTGTGGTCCCGATACCGATGCGCAGGGCAATGTCAAGGGGAAGTGGAACCGGATTCCCCTGCCAGATGGCGAGTCCGACATTGTGGGCGTTGGCGCCGGTTGCGCGACAAGCTGGATCATCACTGCCTAGTGTTGACTCCGACGCGGCTGTGGAAACCATCGAGTGGCTGACAGTTGGCGTGTCTGTCTCGATCGGTGCATGCCCGGGCGGCGATGCGTGATTGCTTAATCGAACAGGCCAAGGCCATGGAGCTGACGGTGTTAGCTCCCTCGTCGATTTCAGGTGGACAGGGGACTTGAAGTTACCTGTGAAATGCGCTGGGTGGGCGGAATGCCCGTCTCCTCCTCTTGGTCCATTTCGGCGGCCTCCGACTCCTCGTTGGGTACCCGCGTCCTCAAGCTAGCGGTGAAAGTGTCCTTGTTATCAAGTCAGTAACCCGCTGCAGATGGAAGACGGTAATACTGGGAGTCGTACTTTGTCACCCGTGGCATCCCAGCCAAGCTCGTCTTCGGCTGGAGCCTCCTCGTCATTCGGCACGTCCCATTGTCTGTCATCATCCGCAGGTACAAAGAGACTATCGAATTCGACTGGCGGTTGAGGTCTCTGGGATTCTGCGGGGGTCTGTGAAGCTCGAGCGGACGTTCCGGTAAGAGGGCGGAGAGACCGACTCCGCGAGGACGGCGGCGGCATTCGACTTGCGTCGGTAGCAGGGGGCCTCTGCTGACTCACGTGCACCGGAGCAGGGGTCTGCCTTGCAGACAACTGTGGTGCGGCGGCTCGAGACGAGCTTGGCCCATCGTCTTCGACGGCTTCACCTCTCGTCATCAAGGTAAACTCGGATTTGACACCCTCAAGCTCGTATGCGAATTGCAGCGGGCGGCAGGGGGTGGTAAACCGGGCAGTGAGTCTGGCGTGGACAATATCGGCATGCGCAAGCACAGCCTTGAAGTCCTTCAGGTTGATTGCAATGTGTCGATTGTCCTCGGCCAGGTAATGCTCAAAGTCCCGTTTGTCAATGGCCACGGAGGTATGCACCGGTTGTCGCAGGATTTCTGCATAGAAAGGTATTTCGTTAGCATAGACATGGGCGAGCAGACTATTAGTTAGGAAACTTGGAACCTTTTCCATCGGCGATTTTGGTAGTGAAGCTGGTGAAAACGGTCTTGCCGTGCTCGGAGTAAATGTCCAGTTGCTCTGCCGACGGTCCAAAGTGGTCGGTGACTTCTTTCAGAAATTTGGGCTCGATGCTCCATTCATTCGTCGCTCTGGACCGGTCAAATGTTGCATGCTGGATATAGACGGGCTCGTACGTGAGCTTGTAGAGCTTGATGACACCTGAGTCGTCAGTATCAAGATACCCTTGCAGTAGAGGGCAGGGATAATCACCGAGTCCGCATATTAGTCTGATGACGAGACGGCACTCCGTCTCATCGGGATTGTCTTGCAGCTCGAACTCGCATCGTTCGACCGAGGTGTCCTTGTTACGGCCGCTTGCTCTTCCTTTGAAGACGGACACGAGAGCCTACTCCAATGTTAGCTAAAGAAAACCCCCTTGGTGGTGGTTGATTTAGCCCAGGGACCACCCACTTTGATCAACACCTGGCAACAGAACTTATGTGATTGAACACCTGCAGACATATTGCGTCTATCTACCCCAAATGAGTAGGATTCGAAGAACTTGTCTGCATCGAAGGCGAAGGCGGCGTAGGCTGTCTTGGTGGAGTTCAAGACGCTCAAGCGAAGCTTGATTTCGTCTGTGTGAGTTACTTCAGGACTTCCAAGCTACACGGAGACAGCATCACCTACCAGATCGAATTCGGCTTCAAATGAGACATTATCGCCAAATTTACCTAGGCACATCAATGCATCGTGTAGTTGATAGATCGCCTCCGGGGAGAGGGAGAACGACAGGGACGCCATGTATGCTTCTTATCGAGAATGAGTGACGAGAACTGGGATCACGAGCGGTGCTCTTGTGTCCTTCTCTACACCCTCTGGTTCCTTATCACGCCGTTTATCACAAATTGTCTTTGTTTGGTCTCGGATAAGTTCTCCATGAGTGATGCAAACCCGCCGCACGTCGACCGCTAGTTAACCCGACACGAGATTACATAAGCGCGTATGTACTGGAAGGACTGGCGGTCCTACAGTATCTCTCCTTCACAAGACAACCTTCAAAGAACCCTTCCCGCGCGAGGACTGGAGGTCGATCACCTCTTACCGAAGAAGTATACGCTTATTGAGCTATCTTGGTTACTTTGTGGGAATTTGCAGGGAACCGGGAGCTCTGCGCTGCGAAGATGGGATTCGTCTTGGCCGATGACGTCCTCTGCATGATCTTGGATATCCTGGGAGATGAGCGAGACCACAACAGCTTATTTCAATGCGCCATTTCTTCGAGATACTTTACCGCTCACTCGCTAGCTGTGCTGTACAAGTATGTTTCTTGTCCTTTGGTTCTCCCTCCTTCGTTCCCATGAGGTGCGTTTTTGCTGATACTCCCTGCAGAGTGTGCCATGCATCATCCGTACGGGGTGGAGGGACGGAGGATGAACAGTTTCTCAACCCGCGCAGACGCTTTACATTTAATGTATCCGTGAGGCGCGAGGTCAATTCTACCGTGCGGAAGTGGGCACTCTTATGGCAATCCATTGCTTTATCGGCTTTGGGTCAGACCTACCTGCCTTACTACAGCTATCTTCGTTATCTAGATCTGGATGATCTGGGAGATCTGCTGAAAGATCCGAACTTCAGCGGGCGGATACGAGAGTAATACATGCTCCAGATATCAGCTATAAGTAATTGAAACACTGACGGGCCAATTGTAGTGACTTTTTCACACCGGGACTCTTAGAGATTGCTTCTTCCGACTACCAGGCGAAAGGCAACAAACGGCTACGGTCGGCGTTCAAGGGCCCCGATCCCAGTGCCGACTCGGTCAAGCTTAAGATTGGTTCCGGTCTGTCCACCCCTTCTTGACTTTACATGATGACATGTGAGATGAAGAGCTAACGCCGAACAGCTATTGTGAAGAAGGCAACTTCTATACGAGGGATGTCGCTCAATGGTAAGCCCAACTTCTAAGCTTGGCCAGTGCATGTTATGCGTCTTGCTAATCACCTTTCTAGTGCCCCCAGAAACACTATCCGAATGGGTCGGAGGGCTGCCCTTGCTGCAATCACTGACGGTATGGTCTGGCGAAGCTCTAAGCCAACATGCTGGCAGCCAGCTCCGTCATCACTGTCCGAAATTTAAGCAGCTCACTATCTATTCTTGGTATCGGCCCGAATACGCCACTGAATTTCTTTTTGAACGCAGTACTGACGAGTGCACAGGAGAGACCGTCCGCCCACAACCGCGGAAGCTGAATCCGAACAGTTCCTCGACCAATTACAGCCAAACACATTGGAAACTTTCGAACTGATCAGCCTGAGCCAGCTTGGACCTCGCTCCATTGTCGCCCTGGGCTCACACCGGCAATCGCTATCAGAATTGAAGTTGACGAGCCTCACGATCGATGGCATCGCCCAACTGCCCTCTCTGACAGCCCTTCCCTCGTTGAGGGTCTTAACTTTGACGGACTCGGTTCCATCCGCGCGGGATGAGAGATTTTATACGATTGTCTCGCAAGTCGCCGAGTGGATCGGCAGCTGTGAATCATTGCGGCAACTGGAAGTGAGACGATTTGTCGATGACCCCTTCCTGTTATCACGGACATTGACCAGAGAAGGGGTTAAACTGACGAGTCTTTCGTTGTCTCGGTATAGCATGGCAGGCAGTCAGGCCTTTCATGAAGCCCTTGCCTGCCAGCAGACTCTGCGAACTCTCAATCTTAGCGGCGAATCCTCCTTTTCCAACCGTGACAACGAGATCCTAGTACAAGCACTGAGCCAGCTGAGTAATCTACGTGAGCTGGACCTCAAAGACATCTCCGACGGCTTTACCCAAGATCATGCCATGGCCTTGACCGCGTTCCTTCCCCGTCTGGAAAAGCTTTGGATAAGCGGCGACTTTTTCGACGATACCGTTTTTCAGGCGTTCACACATCTGCCGAAGCTGGAGAGCCTTGTAATCCCCGCCTTCAGCAAGTTCACTGCCGATGGGATCCTTGATTTTATCTCGCAGCTAGGGCCCGGTAATAAAGGCTTCAACCTGTCAATCCTGAATGCAGTAGATAGCACTCTCACTGAGGAGGCGCAACTCCTGATCAGTGAAACTCTGAAGGCGAATCTGGACGGGTCCTTTGACTATGGGATTGTACCAGGTAAAAATCAGGGCTCCACTGGTGTCGGATAACGCTAACAGACAGCAGTGGACGATAGCGACATGAGTTCAGAGGATGGGCTATATGTATGACGTTGTCAATGCTAGTCCTGCAGCAAATCAGTTGAATCCTTGACAGTGACAATGTAATTTTTTCGCTGGGTAAAATTGTGTCGGTCATTGGTATGAACGATTCGAATTACTGAGATGTCAGTTTACGTAGGTGATGCGTTGGTGTTCGCCTACTATAATAGGCAGTGTAAAACCACTTTAACGGGATTGGTGGGTTGCGCGTCGCAACCGCGTTTCCGACACGCGTTGAATCTGCCCGCCTCTGCCTCTGCCTCCGCCTCCGCGCGATTCCCGCCTTTCCTGTCGGAGCAACAGCAGCCGGCAACTCTCAGCCCCCCCCCTTCCTCAGAACCCACTTTCTGACCCCATTGTTGTTCGGAGGCTTGCTCGAAATTGATTTCACCAAGTGACCGGCTTTTCATGGACTCTAGCTCTTCATAAGAAGCACCAAGGACAGTCGGGTCGCCATGTCTGCCCGTGCCAAGTTAGCAGAGCTGCGCGCTCTCCGCGCCGCGGGCAAGAAACGCCTTTCCACGTATGAGGTGGAGGAACAGGGGGATGTCTACGAAGAGGTCGATGACGAAGGCTACAAGAAGATCATCCGCAATCGGCTCGACCAGGACGATTTCGTGGTCGACGACAACGGCGAAGGATATGCGGACGACGGTCGCGAAGTGTGGAACGAGCGCGGCGCCGACTACGACAGTGAGAGCGAGGACGATGAACTTCCTGCCCGGAGCAAGGCTGCCAAGCGGAAACGTGAAGAAGAGAAGCAGAGAAAGGAGAAAATCAACAACGGGATCTCGAAATACTTCAACAGCGGGGCTGCGCCGTCCGCCCCGAAGCCCAAGGTGAGTTTTTTTTTTTTTTTGTCCCTCGGGTTAAGGTTGTGTGAAGGCTTGGATCTTGGAGGAAGAGGGTCTAGAAATTGGGCTTTGTTCTAACTTATTGGGCCTTTTTTCCACTTTAGCCAGTGGCTACCGCAGAGGATGATGCCTTCATGGCTGACCTCCTTGGAGAGGTCGATACCAACGTCGTTCCGCAACGCCTACCGACCCGAAATATCGTCAAGTCCGAGACTCGACGCAAAGTCCGGATCCTGTCCCCGCCACTCTCAGACAGAACGCGAAAGGATGCGCATATCAAGAAGGATGAGAACAGTGATCCGGTCTCCCCGGTAAAGGATCAGTCGGACATCAACATGGACGACGACTTTGATGATGGCCCGCTTCCCAACATGGATGATGAGGACGTTCCCATGAGTGACCCGATGCCCTCATCGCCTATCAGCAAGGCCATCGAGAGGAAGACGGCTGTGTCGGTCAAGGTAGAAGAGTCGGACGAGGATGACACCGACCTGATGGAGGTCACGCAAGCTACCGGACAGAACGAAGCCAAGGCAGCAAGTATCAACATGGCTGGGAGCCGACCAGTGCCTAAGCTTAAGAAGGAGTCTTATCCTTCGATCGCCAGCTCTTCTCCTGCTAAGGCTCTACCTGACGTTGATGCATCTTGGAACGACGTCCGAAGCAAGCTGAACGTCCTCAGCAGCCCCGCCCACTCTGAGATGCGAACCTTCGGAAAGTTACGTCCACAAGACGTTGTTGAGGAGGATGGCAGCTTACGTATGTTCTGGTTGGATTTCACTGAGGTCAACGGGAGTCTGTGCTTGTTTGGAAAGGTGAAGAATAAACAGACGGGCTCCTATGCCAGTGCTTTCGTCAAAGTCGACAATATCCTTCGGAAACTATACTTTCTTCCCAGAGAGAACCGTCACAAGCATGGGCGCGAGACCGATGAAGAGGTGGATATGGAAGATGTCTATCGCGAAGTAGACGATATGATGTCGAGGTTGAGAGTGGGAATGCACAAGATCAAGCCGTGCACGCGCAAGTATGCGTTTGAGGTGCCCGGCATTCCGAAAGAAACGGACTATCTGAAGCTTCTCTACCCTTATGATAAGCCTGCATTGCCCATGGACGTCAAGGGGGAGACATTCTCCCACGTCTTCGGTACTAACACGGCATTGTTCGAACAATTTGTGCTCTGGAAAAACATCATGGGTCCATGTTGGCTCAAAATTGAAGAAGCGGACTTCTCAGCTGTCAACAATGCCTCCTGGTGTAAGTTTGAATGCCAGGTATCGAAGCCTGCGCTCATCTCTCCGGTGCCCGATACCGAGAATCTGGACGCACCGCCCCTCACATTAATGAGCCTTTCATTCCGCACGCAACTCAACATCAAGGAGAACAAGCAAGAAATCCTGGTGGCCAGTGCCAGAGTCTACGAGAATGTCTCTCTCACGGACACTACTCCCCCGGAGAAGCTGCCTTGCAAGACTTTCACAGTTATGCGGCCGGTAGGCACCTCTTATCCCATGCACTTCGAGACCGAAACCCGGAAGCAACGAGGTACTTTCATGCTGGAAAGGAGCGAGCAATTTCTGCTCAGTAAATTCCTGGCACTGTTCGAAAAGATGGATCCTGATGTTCTTATGGGGCACCAGCTCCAGGAGGTTGATCTCAGCGTTCTTCTCAACCGACTCAAGGAAAAGAAGACGCCAGGATGGCATCGCCTCGGACGACTGAAGCGTGGAGACTGGCCTAAGAACTTCAACAGGGGTGGGGGTTTCTTCGCTGAAAGGCATCTGATCGCGGGACGACTGATGTGTGATGTGGCTAATGACATGGGCAAGGTAAGTTTCA